CCTGAAGGAGAATGGATGAATGTTGTGTGACCAAAATAACGGTTCCACAGTTCATGTTCTTGGACATTCAGAATTCATTTTGTATTGTTTACTAGAGCTTTTATAACAAAATACCACACACTGGGTGGCTTAAATAGAAATTTATTGTCTCACAGTTCTGGAGTCTGGAAGTCGAAGATTAAGGCATCCACAAGGTTGGTTCCTTCTGAGTGACACAAAGAAAAAACTGTTCCAGGCCTCGCTCCTAACTTCTGGTGGTTTGTGGCAACCTTCGGTGTTCCTTGGCTTATAGATATATCACCCTAAGTTTTGCTTTCATCTTCACATGGTGTTCTCTCTGTGTCTAAATTTTCCTTTTTTATTTTCAATTTTATTTTTGATTTTTTTATTTCAAAATTTTTTCAGGTGAGGCAACCCTTGGTTGACTTCACAGATTGCAAGGACCTTGTCAGTTTACAATCCCTTATTTTTTTAAATTTTTTATTTTTTATGCCTACAGCACCTGGTCTTCCTAGGTGGTCTCCCATCCAAGTACTAACAAGGCCCGACTGCGCTTAGCTTCCGAGATCAGATGGGATCAGACTTGTTCAGGGTGGCATAGCCGTAGACTAAATTTCTCCTTTTTATAAAGACACCAGTCATATTGCATGAGGGTCATACTCTAGTATGACCTCATCTTAAACTACATCTACAACGACCCTGTACCCAAACAAGATCACATTTTGAGGTACTAGGGGTTTGGGCTTCAACATATGAATTTTGAGAGGATGTAATTCAATCCATGTTTCTAGACATTTAATATTTCTGGCTACATTCAAAATCTATCTAGTTTGAGTTTGAAAGATGAATGATGAATCCAGTTGCCTCGCTCCTTCCACTGTGTGGGTAAGTTTGGATGACATGACTTCTAGTCATATAACTTAATGATTATTGTTCTGGGGCTAGGAATCCATCCTGTTGTCTCAATGTACACCACAACCCCATTGCTTTCTAGCTTGCGGACTTTGGGTAAGCAACTTAACCTCTGCAAACTCGTCTCTTCAACCAGTAAATAACAGTCCTTCACTCATTGTGTGCTAGGCACATAGCACTCAGCAAATGTTAGTCAGTGTGACTGTAATACTTCTTCAAACATGTGAGCAGAGCCTGACAGAATCCCCGCTGTTCTCACCTCTGGTGATAATTCAGCTCAACTTCTCCCGAGGTTCTGCCGGAAGAAGTTTAAGAGGGGGGAGGGTGCTTTGTTATCCTGCAAATGGGACTACAAATCTGTTTCAGGGAACACAAAGTACTTCTTTTTTTTCTTCCCTAAAGCCAGATTCCATAAATTCTGAGCAGACTTCTCCTAGGCAACATGATTACAAAATACCTGTTCCCCTTAGGTCCCACTTATCTGTCTATCTGACATCTTTTTTTTTTCTCTCACAACTTGATCTTGCCCAACACCTCTCAGATGTGGGCTGGAACCCTTCGTTTTATTTACAAGCTCTCTTTTTGGCTCCATAAATTCGGGGAAATGGAACAGATGTCTGCTGCTTTCCAAGGCGCCACACCTTTTAGTTCTTTTGTAGTTTCTCTACAGGGCTGACTTTAGCTTATCCAAATGCTCATTAAATAACAACTGGAACTTCAAGCTCTTGACGTCAGCAGAATCTCTTTGATTACAGGTGTATTAGGGCTTCATCAAGGTCAAAACAGGAGGTGTAAGTCACCTTTAAAAACGTCATCACTTTCATTTAGCAAATATTTCTTAAATGCTGACTCTGTGCTAGGAGCATTTCTAAGCACCAGGGATATAACAATGAACAAGAGAGCCACTGTCCTTACTCTTGAGGAATGTTCCCATTCTGCGAACATTCATTCATGCAGAAAATATATAATGAGAATTTACTACATATAGGTATTGTTCATCATTAAACAAAACAGGAACAATTCCTGCACTGACGGCTATATTGTGTGTGTGTGTGTGCACGTGTGTGTGTGTTTGTGTGTGTAGGGGGCAGAATACAATATATATAAGTAAATTTTATCATGTTAACAGGTGATAAGTGCTATGAAAAAATAGAGCAAAGTAAAGGTTAGGAATGTTGGGGGCAGTTACAGTTTTAAATAGGATGCTCAGGGTAGGTCTCATTGAGGTGATACTTGAGCGAAAACTTGAAAGCAGTGAAGGAAAGGTGAGGAAGGAGCTGGGATATTTGGGGAAAGAGCAAGTCCAAAGGCCCTGTGGCATGAGTGTACCCAGCTTTTTCAAGGATAGCAAGGAGGCCAGTTTAGCTGGAGCAGAGTGAGCAAGGTGAGAACGAAAGGAAATGCGGTTAGAGGCAGATCAAGTAGAGCTTTTATTTTGAATGAAATAAGGAACTATCGGCAAGTGCTTAGACTAGGGACACGATCTCATACGTCAAAGGATTTACTTGGCTGCTGTGTTTACTAGACTGTGCAGGTGCCTGGTGGCGTCAGGGAGGCCAGTGTAGTCAATCACATGGGCGACGGAGTAGTGACACAGACCAAAGAGGGTACAGTTGGGGTGGTAAGAAGTGGTCGGATTAGGAATCTATTTGCAGATTCGATTTTCCGACAGACTGTATGTGGGGAGTGAATGAGGGGGCAGGGATGACTCTATGATTTTTGGCCTGAGCATCTGAAAGGATGGAGATGGTGAAGACTGGTGAACATTTTTGTTTCGGTGCGTTGGGCCAGGAAAGCCATTCGGATATATTAGGTTTGAGGTGCCTAAGTGGAGTGGGAAGCTGTATTTTAAAGCTGTCTGGAGAAGTGATTTTTGGGGACATCTCTAAAGCCTCAGGAAGTGCGACCCGATTGAGGTATATTTCCAGGCCACGTGCTTCTCCTCTCCGCCCTCCTAAAGGCCGTAACACCGCAGGCGGGCGGCAAAGCCCTTCTTTTTCCTCTTTGGGGGATGGTGAGAAAAACAAACAGAGAAGCCGCACTGCGATACGGCGGCCAACCTCAAACTCCCAGCATGGAAAGAAGCAATGCCCACTAGACTGAAACGCAGGCGGGAAACGGCTTCCAGGACCGCGCAAATGCTTGCGCGCCCTCCGGCCTCCCACCCTCCAGTCCTTCCGCGGGTGATCAGCTGGTCTGCGCTCCCCTTACGTGGGTCGGGGCACGTCACCGCCGAATGGCAGCCTCCAGAAAGGCACCGCGAGTAAGGTGAGGGGACTCTGCTGGGGAGCCGGCGTCCGAGCAGCGCACGGCCCCCCGGGTCCGGGCGCGTGTGTGGCCCTCCAGAGGGCAGAGACAAGCCTGTGAGGAGCGGCGCGCAGCCCACCGCAGCTGGGCGAGGGCCGGGGCTCGCCGGAGCACCACCGAGTGAGAGTAGGGGGAGGGAGTCATGCAGCCGGGCAAGTTCCGGTTTGTTTCTCGCGGGGCCATGGCCACCCCCAGGCATCCCGAGCCCCAGCCGGGTGCCCGGATGAGTGTGTTCGTGGAGCTACCGCTTTCGGCCCGAGGGGGCGGTGGCCATCGCAGCCCCCGACCCAGCAGGAAGGCCCCGCTGTTGCAGGAAGTTGACTCCTCCTCGCTCCTCCCAGGGTCCAGGGAGGTAGGCGAGTTCCTGCCCTCCACTCCCTACTCTGCGAGTCTAATCCTCATATTCCAACCCTAGAAATACTGACCACCTGCATTTCGCTTTACAGATCTGTCACCATCACAAAGATAGGCAACCGCGGGCCCCTCTCTGCCCACATGGTTTTAGAAGGCTTGAAAGGGAACACTTTGGCACGATCACCAGGAAAATCTCACCAGTAACCTGTCCTCTTTTCTCCCAGGATACAGGGAGATGAGAAGGATAATCCTTCAGTTTGACGTTAAATACATTTCAGCCTATTCTTCCCCCACAGCCAGGGTATACTTATCAGAGCAGCTAACAAAGTGGGAGGCAGAGATAAGTTCAGAGTTCACAAAGGCCAGAAGCCAAACTCCCTGGAGATCCACATGGGGTCAGGCATCCTCCAACTGGCTGAAACTTGAATGCACAAGTTTTGCTGCATGGCCAGGCTCACTTGCTGAACACAGACCATGGCTTGTACTTGTGTTTGTGAGTGGACAGATCCCAAGTCGACCTTGACCTGGAGTTGGCCTTGCTACAGCATGTTAGGGATGAGAAGGAACCATGCCTGCATTATGGAAGGGTGTGGTGAGGTGTGGCAGACTTGCACGTGGAAGGAGCTGCCTGTATGTTAAATGCTGGAAATGGGGCCAGGCATGCGAATAATGATGAGTTAGGCCCTAGGTGAAGAAAGAGCCTTTGAGGACCAAGATGGTCTTTGCTGGGTTCATAGAATTACAACATTTTAGGAGCAGAAGGATCATTCAACATCAGCTGATAGAGCTTCTTTACCTTATGGTGCAGGCCACTGAGAGTCTGAGAGAAGGCAGGCTGTTTGCTCCAGGTACCTCCCCTGGTGGCAGATTTGAGTGCCATTTAGAGTGAAAATGACTCAGTTTAGGTGATGGAAACTGCACTCAAATTGACTTAGGTAAAAGGAGTTGAGCTGGCTTTTAGTGCACCTGAGTCCAGGAGACCAACACTAGCATCAGACTTGCTTTTCTTTTGTATCTCTTGGCTCTGATTTCTTCAGTGTTGGCTTTATTGATAGGCAGACTTGCCTTATGGCAAGTTATGACAGTTTTAGGCTGACAGCCCCAGCAAAAATAGAGTCCTCTTAATGGTTGGAACAGAAATCTCAGATCTGATTCTCGCTTGGCTGATTCGGTCCTCATACCTGAGCCAGTCATTGTGTCTAGAGGGATAGATTGACCAGGCCAGGGTCCCAGAACTTGGTGGGTGAGTAGGTGAGACTCATTCCAACTCTGGGGACTGAAAGTGGAGAAGAGACATTCTCAAAAGGAAAACCAAGATGCTGTGTTCAAAAGAAGGAGGGGTGGATTCTGGGTAGGCAAAGACAATATCACCCAGTTCCGCATTCTAGAACTTGTTCCATTCTAACCTTGTTTCACCTTATTAGATGTGATTGAGCATCCTGGTCCTTGTTTTACCCCATCGTGAGTGGTTGGCATGTATGATTCTCATCATGAGCTCAGGAAAGGGGAATGGTTTAAAAGAGAGAGAGGGTTTCTTTAAAAAGAGAGAGAGGGAGAAAAACGTGCCATAACCATCTTATGCAAAGATCAAACAGGAAGTTCTCTGCACTCTTCTTTCCCCTTACCTACCTCATGGCTCATGATGTTGAGAAGATGTAGGCACA